GCGGGGGGCGTGGGATACCGGGGCGGGCAGGAAAGCGACTGGGTGTCTCGTCTAGGAGAGGACCTCGTGGCCTTGAACATGGGAGACGAAAAGGAAAGGGGTAGATGGGGAAAAGAGCGCCAAGGACCCGGAGGTGTGGTACAACAAGGTCGAGGACGGGGTGGCATGGTTCATGAGGAAATGGCACATGCAGGAGGCGGAAGCGTCCGCGAAGCGCCAGCGCGCGAGGGAAGCAGACGCAGAGAGTACGGTCATCTCAGGACCGAAGAGAAGGAGAGCCGGGGAAGCGGCGGTGGGGGGGAAGAAACGGCGACCGGGCACTACTGTAGAAGCGAGTAGGGCGGCCGAGGCAGCACTTGTGGCGAACTATGTACCCGGCTGATGTTGTTGCGCCCTGTTTCCCTCCCTGCTGTATGCTTTACTCCTTTATGTATGCCCTTTTTATTGCCTTCGGCCTCTGTGCTGTGTTTCGTTTTTTCATGACCTCCCTGCCTACTCTGCTGTGTTGGGTACCTTGATCTCGCTTTGCTGTTGCCTTTGTTTTTGTACATCTGGCTGTCTGCCCATCTGCCGCCTCTTTGTCCTGTTTGCTCTGCTACTCCCATGCCCTGGTGCGCAGTGCCTGGTGCTGGTACGTTACCCTTTGATTTTTTCTTTGGGCGGGTGTGGGAAGCGTCCTCCTATATGTTTGTTTTTGTCTTTTTTTGATCGGTTTCCGAGGGCTCTTTTCTCGAACGGTCGGTGGGATACCTGTTATTTTCTTTCTATCATTTTGTTTCCTTTTTCCGAGTGGTTTGTACCCTATTTTTGTTTTGTTTCCCCGCGGCGTTGTATGTGCCGGGTGTTGAGACCACGGGCTCCCCATTTATTTCGGACTTTAGAGCTAATGTGAGAAACAACAACAACAACAAACGGGCCAATGATAACAGACGCACAAGCCTACTGCAGGTGTTTTTTTTTGCCAAAAAAACTATTCCACCTCCCGATCTAGTATTGTTGATGCGCTTGCACATGCAGCATCAATAGAACACGTTGGCTGTACGGCCAAAGATAGAACAATACCAATATGCCAGATCGTCCACATGACGTGTTTTTTTTGTTTTTTCTCCCATCATTGGACTCTGTCGTCTGCCCCTCTGGTCCCGATCCTCCACTTCTTCCAGGTACCAGCTAGACGACCCAACCGGGGTCACATAGGGAGGGGGGTTGGACCCCCTCCTGCGGTTCCTGCCTGAGATATTTTTTATCGCGAGAAGGGTACAGCAATCCCTTCCCTCGCGACTTATGTAGTCGATTAAGTTTA